TTGTATACATTAATACATCAACTGCATTTGCATATGGAATTTGAGCCATATGTTTGCGCTTTTCTTCTGTGTGTGGAGACATTAAAGCACTTAGCTTAAAATAAAAAGCTAGAAGTGTGCTTACAGGTTTTGTTTTACAATCTACCCCAATTCTCTGTAGAATTTTCCTCAAGTATTGGGTTTATATCAAATAGACTGTACCTTTTCTTCTGTCTCTTTGAATCTCCATACCAAGAATCTTCTTAACTTATCCAAGGTCCTTTATTTCAAACTCAATTCTCAGTTGAGCTTTAAATCTATCAATCTCTACTTTGCTCTTCAATGTAATCAATATATCATCCACATATAAAAGCAAATAGATGAAAAAACCATCAAGAAGTTTGCAAAAATATACACAGTTTTCAAACTAACTTCATGTGTGTCCATGTTTAATCATGAACTTATCAAATCGCTTATACCACTAGCGAAGAGATTGTTTCAATCCATACAATGACTTTTTTAGTTTACAAGCCCAATTTTCTTTCCTAGTGACTTTAAAACTATCTAGCTGAGACATGTAAATTTTCTCTTTCAAATCTCCATGTAGGAAGGCAGTTTTCACATCAAGTGGGGCTAGCTCCAAATCAAACTGTGCAACCAAGGCTACTAGAATACAGATTAATGAATGTTTGATAATTGGAGAGAATATGTCATTATAATTTATCCCTTTCTTCTAAGCATAGCCTTTTGCTATTAATCTTGCTTTGAAACGAATGTTGTCTTTTCTAAGATTACCTTCTTTCTTGGCATATACCCACTTGCAATCAATTGTCTTCTTTCTTTTAGGGAGTTATACCAAATCCCAAGTCTAATTCTTGTGGAGAGATTTCATCTCTCCATCTATTTCCTCTTTCTATTTTGCACTTTCTACACTTTGTACTGCTTCTTTGTAGGTGTAGGGGATTCCATCATCAATAACTAGAAGTGCATAAGCCATCATGTTACAATACCAAGCAGGTTTTTTAATATTTTTTTTATTTACTCGTTATAATGGATTCTTGTTGTGTGGTTGCTAGAGTTGCATCTTTTTCATCTGAACTTTTATCTAAATCTCCTTCAGTAGGGATTGTCTGAACAGTCTTTATAGGAATGGTTGAAGTCTCAAACTCCACCTGTTGTGCATCACTAGATTGTTTTTTCTTCTCCTGTGATTTCTATTGTTGTAGCATGATGACTCATTAAAAATGACATATCTACTCAAAATCACTTTCTTTGATTCAAAACACTAGAGTTTGTAACCTTATACTCCTCCACTAAAGCCTAAAAATATAGCTTTCTTGGCTCTAGGATCTAGTTTAGACTCGGTAACATGATAATATGCTGAGCAACCAAATATACGTATAGAGTCATAATCATTTGCAGGAGAGTCTGACCATACCTCTAAATGGGTTCTTCCATTTAATGTTGCTGAAGGTAACTGATTAATGATATAACAAGCATAGCTTAATGCCTCACCCTAGAACACTTTGCTTAGTCCTAAATATGATAGCATACATCGAACTTTCTCCACCAATGTACGGTTCATGCGTTCTGTTACTTCATTTTGTTGTGGTGTTTTGTGCATAGTAAAATATCATTTGATCCCTTCATCCTGACAAACTTCAAAGAAAGAATCTGAAGTGTACTCACCACTATTATATGATCGAAGAGTTTTAACTCTCCTTCCAATTTGAGTCTCCACCATTTTCTTTCATTTCATAAAGATATAAAAAGACCTCATCTTTATGTTTCATCATGTACACCCATACTCGTCTTGATAAATCATCAATAAAAGTAACAAATCAATGATTACCTCTAATAGATTTATTCTTTAAAGGTTCTCATACGTCTATGTGAACATAATTTAGAATCCCTTTTGTGTTGTGTATCGCAGTGCCAAACTTGACCCTTGTCTGTTTTCTAAGAACACAATGCTCACAAAACCCATGTTTTCCAATATTGGCACCTTTTAATAGACCTTGCTTAACCAAACCTTGCAAAACCTTTTAATTAGTATGCCCTAAGTGTAGGTGCTAAATTCTGGAATTATTTGTTTCATCATCTTTTATACTTTTGGAGATAGATGTTATACCAATAACTATAGATCCATCTAGGAAATATAGGTTTCCTATCCTCTTGCCTCTAAAGACAACTAATGCACCACAGACTGCTCTCAGGACTCCATCATGCATAATAATCTTATATCCATTAAATTTTAAGACTCCAAGTAAGAAGAGATTTTTCTTCAAGTCAGGTACATACTGTACCTCTATTAGTGTCTTGATTATCCTATTATGCATCTTCAGATGTATAGTCCCAATCTATTTGATCTCATAAACATTATCATTACCCATCAACACAATCCCTCATCGAACTCCTCAAGTCTCGAGAATAAGTGTTTGTTAAGGCACATGTGATAGAAACATGCAGAATAAAAAACCCATTCATTAGAATGGTTTTCTGGTGATGAGATCATGATGAGTACAGAGTCTTATTCATCTTCATCTCATGCAACATTCAAAATTGGTTTATCTTTTTTCTTGTTGTCCTTGATTGGACAATTTTTTTTTCAGTGCTCTTTTTTTGTGATAAAAGGCACACTCATCTTTTACAAGATATCGTCTGTTTGATGATTCTTCTCTGGATTTTGAGCGAGATCTCCCTCACCCTCGAAATCTTCTGGGGTTTGTTCTACCTTTAACTATCAATGCTTCCAATGTTGACTCCTTGTGAACAATTTAGTCCTTCTTCTGGTACTCATTGTTCACTAAAACATTGAACACATAAATGAATTTAATCTTTTTTTTAGTATACAGTGAAATAGTAACAAGATGTTCATATATGTTAGGTAGTGAATTCAATAATAACAGAGCCTTATCTTCATCATCGATTTTCATATCCAAATTCTTCAAATTAGCTATCATTTTATTGAAATCATTCAAATGTTCATTCATGGAAGCACCTTTCTTGTGCTGAAAATGGAAGATCTTTTTTTTCAAGTAGAGACGATTCTCTTTACTGTTTTTCATAAACTTGTCCTCTAGTGCTTGCCATAATTCCTATACAGAGTTTTGTTTTGAAAAGGCATAATTCTGATCCTTTATAAGACAAAATCGGATGAAATTGCAGACCAACCGATTTATCCTTTCCTAGCTTTTCTCATCCAAATCCTCTGATTTATCTTCTAGAGTGAAATCCAAATTCATGTGGACAAACATATTCATAACTTCACATTTCCACATGCTAAAATTACCTTTTCCATCAAACTTCTCCACCTCAAATTTGGTATTTGATATCGAAATGTATTGTGGAGGTATACTAGCATTCCTCGTTGATCTTTCTTCTGGAATATCAACCATTAAGACGTCTTTGGATTACAAATGGACTCCTGAAATTGTTAAAAAAACATGCATTTTTATGCTTAAAAAAACCAAAACAGTAACTTCGGCATGCTGTTTCACAAAACAGACACCACGGTTGCGACCGGAATGGTTGAAAATGCTATAAACAAGCTTGACTCGGCTAAAAACAGGCTAAAACATCACTGAGTTAGCCAAAAAAACCAATCTAATCGAGTTAATTCAAGAAAGGAATATTCTATCTCTGTTAAAGAATATTTTGTCACTGTGAATGGAATATTATTATTTTATCAAAAGAATATTTCGTCACTATTAGATGACATGGCTGATGATATGAAACTGTGGACCATCTGTTGATGACATAGATGATGACTCAACGTTGACATGTCAGATGATGTGGCAGTCTTCTTATTCTAGAATTTCGGCACTGTCTAGTTTTTTCGATAGATTTCAAGCGAAACTTTGGCGAGCTCTATACTCTTTTCAACTCTGATTTCGATGATCTTTATATCATCGGGCTCATATTGACTAGAGGAATCAAGGTAGGTGGTCAAAATCAAGATCTGATTCCTTTGAAAATTCTACAACTTTGAACCGAGAGATGAAAAAAAACGTGTTTTTCAGTGTTCTAGCTGCCCTAATGCTCTGATACCAATTTGTTGTGCATACTGGACCAAAAGTAAACACAAACAAGCAAATTTATGTGGTTCCTCAAAACCAGATATGTCCACGAAGGCAGCAGATTGTATATTATTACAAGAATGATACAAATACTCAACTCACTCCAGTACAATCCCAAAACTCCAGGTTTCACTCTTACTCTCAGTATTTCTCTCAAATCTGCACTTTTTCACTCTTACAGTTGCATTATCTTTCTTTTTTTTATTGATCTCACTTTCTTGTCTTTGTCTCCATTTATAGGAGAAATGAGAGCCTTGACAGCAACTAACAAAAAACAAATAACTGCTAACTACTATAATATAGTGGTTGAAAAGTGACGGTGGTTGAAAAGCAAGTGATAATGGTTGAAAAATATTGACATAAATTTACTACAAACAGAATTTACAATAAAATGTTCATCGCTATTTTTGTTAGAAAAGTCTAAAACTTCTAAATTAATTTCCAGTGAAATAAAATCTATATATATATTATGAAATCATCGATGAACAAAAAAAAATTAACAGTGATTTTGCAGAAAGTTTAGCCTTTCTTTTACGGGAGTAGTCTGTATGCACCTTTAATTCGAAAGGTAAAAAAAAACTCTCTTTCGGCCTTTCAAGTTCCCCTTAAGTGTATAGCTACATGACCTGCTTGAATGAACCTATTTACATGAAGATTCTCTCCTTCCGTTTCCGTAAATTCCAACATGAATATTATGGTTATGAAAATTTTCATTTTCGTTAATGTAAATTTGATAGTGCATTGCCGCGTTCTGATTTTGATATCTTGCTTGTTCTTTCCATTAACCTGTCAAACTTGCACTTAGTATTAAGCTTCACAATATGAATTGAGATGCTATTGTTCTATTGGCTGATTGATGTTCATCATGGGACTGCATTACCAGGACTACCTCTGTAAAGCCTGTGTTGGTGTAAATCATGGACCCACATGATCTCCATTTTCACAGAGCATTGGCAGATTGAAGGATCTGTACTTAGGCAACCAACATCGTAGTTGTCTAAAAAGCTTCTAGTCAATTCTTTTTAGAAATATGCATGTGTAAAGGTACGGTTCATTGGAGGGGATGGACCTAAACGCGTCAGGCTGGAAGAGATGAGGGAAAACACACTTCCAAGATCGAGTGGAAATGCTGAGTGCCGTACCATATGCCTTCTGGCCGTATGTTCTTAAGCAGGTCAGAGGTTCTCCTGATTTCTAATTTTAAATCATTTTTTCATATTATTTACTAGAGCTTCAGGATACATTTATGTTTTTGTTGAATATTGTCTCAGTACTCTTTTACTCGTCGAGCAGTTCTTTGACAGATGCATTCTGCATAGCCATATTAGAGGCTGCTAGTTGTGGATTATTGACATTCAGGACACGCGTAGGAGAGGTTCCTTCTTCATCTAGCTAACACGATATCATATAGTCGTTGCTTTTTGTACATGTTGCTAGAGACATGTTCACGGGATTGAGCTCTGGTAATCCTAAATCCTACAGGCAGCTAATTTGTTACTTCTCGTGATATTATTAGGTTCTACCAGACGACAAGATCTTACTTGTAGAACCAGATCCTAGTGATATGGTAAGATCAAATGGAAAGGCAATATCTCTACTTCCGAATATTGACCCGCAACTGACGCATAATCGTGTGAGCGAGCCATTCATGTAAGTTTAGTCTTCCTGAGAATTTTATAGCAACTATTCATAGAAGCTCAATCTTTGCGCTGCATCAGAAACTCTACGATTGGCATGATGCTGCAAAATGAGCAGATATTGTGTCTGACCGTGCTTTGAAATGCCCTGATTAGAATTCCTTAGAACGACTCTCACGGTATGCAACTGATCAGATCGGATACATAAGATCCAAACTCAGTTTTTTTTTTTTTTTGGACTTTTTGCTGTATAATTGCACATAAACTGATGCGATTTACTGTGAAGTTGTAGACTGGTGAGTGCCTAAACAAAGACAGTTGATGGAGGCTTCGTTAGGCTATCAGAATGTTCATCAGCATCTTCAGCAGAAAATCCAGTAGCATGTGCACCAATTATTCACACCATCCATACTGTTACTAATTCGAAAAAATCCTGCTAGTCACTTGATTGTTTCCTTATTTCCCTCATTATACCCTGACAGTTTAACTGAACCACACCGCTAAGTAAGCCAATCCAAAGGATATCTCGTCTTTTTCTTTCTGTCGCTTCAGTTTTCACAGGCTTTCTTAACATTGGTGACAACTGTTTATTAGATGCTTCTCTTGTGGTACCTGGGCAGGCAAGAATTTCTGCTTCGTTAGGATAATTTTTTTTTTTTTTGCTATGGCGTCAACTGCAATTATGGCAGGGACCACCAGTTCCTACATATATCGAGTCTTGACCTTGCAGACAAATTCTGCTATAATGCTATCCACATAATATTCAACCTTTAATTATTTTCTCTCTTTGTTTTTTTCTTTTTCTTTTTTGATATTTCTTCAGCCAATGGAGGATATCAAGGAGGTGCCTGAATTTACATTTCCCCGTCATCACTATGAAGACACGATCTCAAATTTCAAAGAGGACCAAAGCTTGGATAACATTTAAGTTATAGAGTCCTCTTGGTTCATCAGGATGCCTATTGGATTCCCTTCCATCCATGATTTCTCTCATCCTTAATGTGAAAGATGAATTTTTGATATCTATGGGAATGAATTTTGAACTCTATAATGTATATGCATGTAGAAAGATATAATTATTCTTTAAATCTCTTGAATTATATCTACACTAGTGTATAAATATGTGTTAACAGCATGGTGACCTAAATTCAAATTCATTGGACTTTTCTCTTTTGAGAGTAATGAAAGAAAAAGGAGTTGTTTTCCATCATGTTTCCCTTCTTATCTTTATCTCTTTGTTTTTTTCTTTCTCTCTGACATGGTATTAAAACTAGCTCAACTTCAATCTAGTAGACGTTTAAGATATTAAAACATTTGTGTTTAGCAAAGAAGAAATCTAAAGAGTGAGTTGATGAACAAGTGATATTAAAATTAGAGTTGGTTGCTCGTATTGTATTAAAAAGGAACACTATAGTGACATTAACAAAAAAGAAAGCACAAATTTGACTGCTTGACTATTACTATTATCCGTTCAATATTTGTTTTTATTATTAAATCAAGCTGAAATTTCAAGAATAAATTTTTGACACAACTATAATTGGACTGAAAATTAAAAGTATTTAAGTTGGTCATTTTATCATAAACAAAACTGTCAATTTCACATCTTATTTAATCATAAAACAAGTCATTTTGTCATAAAACGAGATTGTTAATTTCTTGTTTTTTTCTCTTTAATCTTGTTATATTTGAAAAATATGTTATTTTTAATAATTTATATATTGTAGTTTTAACTAAAAAAAATACTTTTCAATCTCATTATTTATAGTGAAAGTTTTTAGATGAATTCCCATGATTTCTTTTTATTTTACAATGAGTTTCCACATAAAAAAATTTAATATTGTGTTGTATTGATTGGTTACTTAAATTTTATTGATTGGTTGATAATATTTTAATTGTACAAAAGAGACAAAAGAATTTAGACCTGTGAATTTGGTTGTATTGATGACTTTTCCCGTAGAGCTATCTTCCAACATGCTTCCTTTCCTACCTTTCTCCTCTGATTTCTTTTTACATAACAATATCAAATCACTTGGTAACATCTATTGATTTTGCTAGTTATTAACTTGAACAGATCCCACGATGTAATAAGAAATCTTATGAATTTTGTAACTTTTTATTTATTTATTTTTAAGTTTTTTTTTTTTGAATGTAGTATCTAGTTTCATTGCCATAAATTGTAATCCAAAAGGATTCTAAAAAATCCCATCTAATCAAACTATTAAAAAATAGGGAGAACGTAAGACTATTAATAGCTATCAGTTAACTACAACAAAGTTCCAGTTGTGGAGAGTTACGACTTACAAGCGAGAAGGCGACTCTCCAATCCTCTGCTTGCTTGTTATGCATATTAATGGTTGAAAGGAGCAAAATATAGAAAATTTAAAACAAAAAGATACATCACTGAAACATTTTGGCTGCAACCACTTCACTTCTGAATCATCATGGCTAAACCAACATCATCAAAGTATATATTTTGCAGAGATATTGTAACCCAGCTAGCTCTTGAAACTCCTACCCATGTTGATGTGGTGAAGGATTTGGCAATGGGGGATTTCGAGAAGTGCCAATCGGCCTCAGATTCCGTCGCTGAAGGACTAGGCTTTCTGTCAAAAATTAACAACTCAAACATAAGCGTATCATGAATACAATATACATGCCAGAAAAAGAAATTAAGATACTCTATTCCATGCATGTTTAGAAATTTCCTAGGCATGCCATACTTTCTATCTATAGGACTGAAGATGTCCAGGGAGATTCAAACTTAAGAAGTTTTGCACCTTGAATAGCTTCGAACTTGGAAATTCTTGCTTCTGTCGACACAGAAATTGAACTCATGAAGAAGACTACATAGGCTATAAGCCAAGCACAGACTGCAACTTTCCTATGGAACCACCCCATTCTGTGCTGCAGTGATGCAAACCCGTTTAAGCATGAAATATATGTGGATCTCAGCTTACTTTATAGAACATTGGATCAACTTGTCAAATTTGAAGTGCCAGTTCAACCCAAAATTCCTGTGAACACATTTTCTTAGTCCAAGTCAAAAATATTTTTCTCACTTTCTTTAAAGTCTCGTAGGAAAAGGCTCCAAAATTCCAAATCAACGCATTGAATAATTTATCATATGGTTTAGTGATTATGACACTTTTTTACTTGCGACGAGTCTTTCTTCTCATAAGCACCATGTTTCCAGTCATTCAATTGATTACCATGATATTTTCTATCCAAAAGATGTCAGCCATATATTCATTCAGCAACCTTGATTTTTGTTATACCCGTCCATAATTTCTCGGGTTTTTTTTTTTTCGTGCAACTTATCATACACTCTAATTTCTGCAACTCTAATCTTTCAAGTCGAAGCAGAGTCTGAGCAGTAAAGTTGTGGCCCAATAAAGGCTATATCTAGAAACATTGTGAGGCCCATAATTAAGATCCAAGAATGACTTCAGAAAAGCTGAAATAAAAGGGCCTAGAGAAAAGATGACCAATTAAATGGGCTAGCCTGCTAAATAGTTTTCGAACTTTTATCTTTTAAACAAAAAAAAAATCAGTGCTCTCATGACATCATGTTAGTATACGCTCCCCTTGACTGAGATTAGGGAGAAATATTTAGTTAAATTAGCTACAGAAAAATTATTATTTAACTACTTAAAGCAAACATTATTATTATATTTTTTAAAATCTAAGTAATGACATGCAAGGCGTAACTTCATACAAAATTAAGAATGGTAATGGATATCTAGGAGTCGGATTTTACTATATTTACTGGTTATCTACTAAATAAAAAATTTAAATATTTATACCTGCATGACTAGAGAAATTTAAAACATCAACAAAATATTTTATTGGTGTACACACTAATTTTATAGGTACAAATATCACTAACAATTTTAATAATAAAAACATATCATCAAGAAATATTCCCATAACTGATGTCATTATATAATGATAATTTTATCAGAAATTTTTATATTAAAAAATATAGTGATGAATTATTATCACCACTCCTTAAAAAAGAGGTTAACAAATATCTGTCATCAAATTCAATGGTTAATATTATCAAAGAAATTCTAAAAAATACTTCTATTAGTAATATGTCTGTCTCATTAATAGCTTTTTTATAAAATATCAACGATATATCTTATCAATGATAAGTTAGGATGGATCAAAATAATTAACATTTTTTTATAATTTTCTTATATAAATGTTGATTATTTACTGTTAAAAATTTCATCTGTATTTAAACAAATTATTTTTTTTTAAAAAAAAGAAGCTATAAAACAATTTTACAATGACATTAAATGACTAATCTAAATTAAAGAATAAATTTTATATAATATAAAAACTAAATGCTAATATCTATACAAATCAATTACATGCTCCAATTGCAGGTGAAGTGGAAGAAAAATCTCATGAAGGTTCATAGAGGGAGGATAAAAACTAGAAAAATATGTTATGATCTTCTCCAATTTTTGTTGTTGTTGTTTATACTTTGCCTCCATTTTAACTCTTAGAGCATCAACTTATTGTTCAACTAACTTCTCAACTGCTGGTTAACTCAATCTAGATTATAAAATATCTATAGTTAAGACATTACAACCTAATTTCATATCCTTTCATCATAAATAATATAAAAAAAAATAAATCAAAGATATGGATAAAAAAACACTAGTTCAAGTAATATATAAAAAAGATTTAAAAGTCTGTTTACAATAAACATTCCAGCTCGATTATCAATAAATAATTGTATTTTTTTTTGTTTATTCTACTTTGTGTATATATTTTTATATACAATTCCATTAAAGTATGAATTATATTTAGATGTACCCATACATATTTATTTATATTTTTATGTTTGTTACATGTTTGGTACTCTATATTGATACCTATAGACTCGAGCAAAAGAAAGAATCCTAAAAGAGACTAACTTCAAGGGAATTATAGTTGAAGAAGTCTTTACCATATAAGGAATTCATGGACTCCTTTAGCGATTGTGCTAGTTTGATCAGATGAGCTTATTAGAGATGGCACAATCCTCTTGAATCAGCAAGTTAAAGGTCTCCATGGCACTTGGACTCAAAAGGGGGAGAAGAATCTCGTGTGGGCATAAAGTGCTTGGACAAGATTGGTGACCCATCATGCTTTGGGTTGGCGATCTTAATGGGTCTTATCTCATATTTAGTGCCAAGACCCGGTGATGGACGGCACAAATCCCAGCCATCACTAACGTGATTGGTTTGGGCTCTAAAATGACTATGCTAAACATGTGCCTATCAAATCGCAAAAGGTTATATTCTTAGGCTACATTACTAATTTGTTGGATAAGAAGAGAAATGTATCTTTGCAAGCAAAATAAAGACAGCCTTTGCCCAAATCAACTTGGAAGTGCCTTTTGTTTCACTTATTAAGTGGATCGAGTTTAGTGCAATACAACTAAGTGTGTTTTCATAGTAAATTATTAACTTTCTTACGAAAGTTAGGGTCATTTTAAGATAAACAACAAAAATATAAGAATTAATAAAGTATTTAAAGGTGATATTATCTTGTGATGAGGTGACAAACGGCTCAATATTTATCAATATTGACTAATTTTCAATAAACATAATTACTTGTTGTTTGAATAAAGTTAAAATAATTTTATAACTAAGTTTCATCTCAAAATCAAACTCTAAAAAAGATGAATGAAATTTAAAGTATGTTTGAAAATGTAATTAAAATTATATATTCTTAATTTTTTTAAAAAAATATTTTTTATGTGTTTATATTGTTTTAATATGTTGATCTCAAAAAAAATTTTAAAAATTTAAAAATTATTTTAATATATTTCTAGGTAAAAAATATTTTTGAGCTGTAACCATTACAACAATTTTAAAATAAAAAAAAGCTTATCCACTAGTATATAATCCAATTCCATTGAAACACCAAATGAAAAGAAAAGGAAAGAAAGTTGTGATAAAATAGTGAGGTCATATGTTCGCTAAAAATTTGAAAGCTAAGAACCCATTGAGGTAAGTAATGAGCACATTCAAGTATGAAAAATAGTAACACTCATTCAATTATTATTTTTTCTCTTCTTATTTATATATGTGTGTGTGAGGTT